ATAATAATAAGATCAGAACCAGCAGATAGTCTAATGGTTATGTTACAGGACTCCCATATAATCGACCGCAGTTCAAGTTCTGGACCCGGTGGCACATATAGGGCACATGTGCATGCATGCCCAAAATTGCTGAGAGGAGAATGGAGGAGAAGGGATTGTGGCGTGGCCATCATCCCTGGGGGGTGATTTTTATCTCTCTGTCTCTCTGGCGAGAGCAAAAATCTCTCTCTCTAAAAAAAAAAAAAAAAGGTTAAAGACGCCTTATTTGGGGACCAACAGATAGTGTAATGGTTACATTACTAGATTCTCACATAGTTGACCACAATTCAAGTCCCAGATCCACTGGCTTCAAAGTCACACCAGGCACGTGTGCATGCATACCCAAAATCCTGAGAGGAGAATAGAAGACAAGGGATTGCAGTGCGGCCATCACCCCTGGGGGGTAATTTCTCACTTTCTGTCTCTCCAGTGAGCACACACAACACATACCAAAAATCTCTAAGAAAAGGGACCAGCAGATGGCATAATGGATACATCACTGTACTCCCATGTAGTTGACAGTGGTTCGAGTCCCAGACCTGGTGGCTTAAAGCTCACACTGAGCACATGCACACGTGTGCTCAAAATACAGAGAGAATGGAGAAGGGACTGCGGCGTGACGATCCCCCCTGGGGGATGATTTCTCGCTGTCTTTCTCTCTCTCTGTCTCTCCAGTGAGTGCAAGCAAAAATCCCTCTGAAAAAAGATGCCTTATTTTATATAGTTGATCAGTGCAGTCAACATCAAGGCCAAGCCCTGCTGATAACTAGCATATGTGGCTGGTCACTGCCCAGCTTTTCCACATGCATTTCCCCGTAAGGCATATGGCAGCCTCCTGCGCCTAGGGACACTAGCCGGTACTTCAGTACCACACTTAGAGACACTTAAACAGCACAATAACTAACATAAAGCACAGAGAGAGACACGGCCCCAAACACATGCAAAAACGACACTCCTGGGCAGAGTGTTGCCTTATTTGCCCTCAGCTCAGAAGGTTTGAACACACATGAGAAAGCACCGTGAATATTGACTCCAGGGTTAGAAATACATGTTGGTGGATTGGCAGATTTTCAAATACAAAACCTGTGGATAATGAAGGTGGACAGTAATTCTACTGCCTGAAACTCTTCCAGAGCTTTAGGCCCCCCCAGGGATAAAATCCAAGCTCTTTATAAAGGCTTACAAGGCCCAACGGGACTTGGGGCCAGCCTCCCCCTTCAAGGTCCTCACCCTGCTCACCACACTGGCTGCTCTTTCTCGCGGCAGCTGGCCCTTCTGTCTCAAATGCCCCTCCCTGGCTCTTGCCATGCATCTTTTCTATTTCATACTGCCACCTCCCTCATCTAGAGGTGCCACCCATAATTCTGTTAGGGCACACTTGTACAGCGCGCTGCTCAGAAATGGCCCTACTTGTGCTAAGTACCCAACACCACAGTTTTAAAAACAATATACTTGCTCTCTTTTATTTTTCCTTTAGAGGTTTTTGTCTTGGGGCACATGCACTCGCCAGAGAGAGACAGAGACAGGGAAAGGGGACATGAGAAATCATCCCTGGGGGGGATGGCCATGCAGCAATCTCTTCTCCACCATTCTTCTCCTGGGATCTTGAACATGTATGCACATGTGCCTGGCGTGAGTTTCAAGCAACCAGGTCCAGGACTCAAACTGCAGTTGGCTGTGTGGGAGTCCAGCGACGTAACCACTACACCATCTACTGATCCCAAAACAAAATACTTTGACAAACATGTTTACCTGACTGCACTTGGGTGCTCTCTTTCTTTCTTATTTATTTATTTTTTGAGAGATTTTTGCTACAGGGTGCATGTGCTCACCAGAAAGCCAGAGAGACAGAGACAAAGCGAAAAATCACCCCCCAGGGGGGATGGCCACACCGCAATCCCCTCTCGTCCATTCTCTTCTCGGGATTGGGCCACCCATGTACATGCACCTGGCGGAGTTTTAAGCCACCGGGTCCAGGACTCAAACTGCAGTCGACTACACGGGAGTCCAGCGACATAGCCATTATGCTAACTGCTGGTCCCTTGGCTGCTTTCAGACACCTACATAAATGGCCTGCTTGAACCACTCAGATAAACTGTATCGCCATAAGCCATGAGAGGCCGAAAGCCAGACCAGTGGCAAAGACAGGAATGTATGGCACAGGGCAAGGCCTTGATAAAGGGGCATATAAAGTGGGCACTCAGATAGCCCCATACCATTTGCTCCTTGGCCATTTCCCCTAGGTGAGCTGGAGCAGTTGCTGTGCCCAGTGCTCACTGTGCAGCTCCTGACCCCAGGCAGCAGTTCAAGCACTCACTTCCCAGCTACCATTTGGAGGCACTGGCCCTCTCCCACTGCAGCAGCTTGAAGGAAGCTTGGCGCAGAACTTGTAGTGACTGCTTGCTGGGGCAACCGTTGGAGGGAGGATTC